GGTTTGTTTGCAAGTCATTGTCCCATTTTTGTCTCGCACACTGCCATTTTCAGATGAAATGTGAAAATGGAAAAAGAAAGTATTGTTTGTAAGTCCATGCTTTAAGTGAAGGTTACAAAATGTCTTGATCAGCTGGAGCTGTGTTTGATTGACAGCAGCTGGCATGTTGCAGTAAAAGCCAAGGTCAGTATAGCATGCAAGCCATGGGGACAGGAACTTGTTAGAATTTGTTTGAAGGTACATTTAAGTGCTCTTACTTCTGTAGTATTCAAAGTGGAAACAGCAGCTCACTTTTCCCAGCTGTGTGTTTGATTGTCCTTATTGAATAAAAAGGAGACTGTGAGATTAAAAGCTAATGTATATCATTGTTCAGCATCTTAGGTCGCCACAGCAGATCATCCGTCTCCATTTCACCTTCACCCTTGCATCCCCTTCTGTTACGCCAACTCTCTGCATGCCCTCCTCTCTGCGGTCTTCGTCATTTCCTTCTGCAGTCCCTTACTCACGCCTCCACACTCCTACCTTTGCTTTTCTCTTGCTGCTCCCGACCATGCTGGACCCATCTCCTCTTCCTTTGTCTTTGCCCAGCAGTAGCACAGTTTCCATCGGGACCTCCGATGGCGGTGGTTGTTAACCTAGGCTCTTATCATTCTGGTAAGAAAATTTCACTCTTGATCATCTACATATTTTATTTGACATTCGGGGTCCTGACCCCCAGGGGTTGGTTGTGTATCATTGTTCAAAGGTGGTAGAACTGCAGGTTTTTGTTGCGAGGATGCACAAGAATAGAAATGAGCATATCAGAGGGACAGCTCAGGCTGAGTGGTTTGGAGACAAAGTTAGAGAGCCAAGGCTGAAATGTTTTGGACAAGTGCAAAGGATCCATGTTCAGCATACTTAGACAAAGGATGTTCATAGCATACCAATGAAACACGTTGTCAAGCCAAATCGGGACATTGTAAATATTCCAAGTTAAGGTACTTGCATACCCGCTCAAAGTAAAAAGGAGACCATGTTATTAAGAATGTAATTTAATGTCAGCTGGCCTTTAAAACAAGTGAGAAATATTTCATAAGAGCAGTGAAAGTACAGAAATCTAAGATCACAGTGTCTGAAAGTTCATGGTCTTTTATTTCTCTCAGTTCTGGAGACAACAAAACCTCCTCATCCTAGACAACCAGTGGATTTTCCTTCCATCCTCTTTTTCTTTTTAAAAAAGCTGTCTGCTTGTTGTAGTAGTTTTACTTTTTAAAAAGAACCAAAAACATACTCTCCAGACACCATTTTCCCAGCATCGATGCAGTAAGAGTCTCTCCTCACCTTAAATTATTGACAAAGAGACGTGCTTGGACATTTATTAGTCCAATCCACACAGTATCCTCTAGGTCCAAATAGTGTACCTCTGATTAACTCATTGTATCAGACTGAATGATCAACTGACAGGCGAACGGTGGCTCACAGAGTCTTTTTAAAAGCATGTCTGTGTGTGTGTGTGCACGCATGTGTCCTCCTATGGACAGCTTCCTCTGTGGTATTGATTGTCCTGGTTCCTTGCCGACAAACTGTTGCTAATCCCAAACACAGCAGGATGGGAAATTGGATGGGCACTATCGGGCCACTTTGGAGCCGACTTAAAGATCCTCGCTTCACATAAACACACACGCGCACATTGGTTTACAAGTGTGCACGGACACACTGAGGAGTTGATGTTGGCACACAGCATGCATCAGCTCTGCCCGCACGCTGTGACCCAATATGGAGTGTGACCAGCTGTCCATGTCTGAATTCTGCCTGTTTTCGGTGCTGAGATTTGAGTGCATCTGGGTTTGCTTGAGTGTATGACATGCCTTTCCTCAGAAATATTTGACAGCCACACACCAGCCTCGTTCTGCTGCTGACAGTTCCTCCCCCGTGCGCCTCCGTGCCAAGATAGCTCGGCCACCACAATTTCAAGCTTACAGCAGAGTCCCGGTCATCTGTCATGATCTCCTGGCCTGCCTGCTCTCAGCCAGGCTTTTTAACTAATGAGAGGATTTGTAGAGTCATTCTTTGACTTTCAGGACTCAGTGATTTAGTATGAATTAAGCACCTGCCAAAGCTGCTCCTGCAGATAATAGAAATTAAAAAAATGACATGTTCTAAAGAATAAAACTCATACCCTTGAATAAAATATTATTGGTTTGATTTTACCTTGGAACCTTAAGTGGGTGTCATCCTGCACTGTCTCTGTCCTGCTCTCTGTGTGTGTCATGTCTCACTCTGCTGTGAGGTATCTAGTTAAAGTGAAAATGCCAAAAGAGAGAGACGTGAAAGGCGAATCTGTCGGAAGAAATACTTTTCTTGACCATTTATACGGTTGTCTTTGTCATATCTCTGCTTGCATGCACAACATTGGGCTTTGTCTCAGTGATAAATGCAACTTTTGAAAGGAGGAATCAAACGAGTTATGCAGAGAATTTAGAAAGACAACTTGGCACTCGCTGATCCAAAGTACTCATGCAAGTTATGCAACTAACAGACGTCCTATAGGAAGAGGCTAAAAATATGGCCACATTTTTCAGCTTTAACCTCCTGAAGTTGCACTACATAAGTTTGATTAAATGAGGGCGTCAGCGCTATTTACTTTATATAAGGCAAAAAAAGCATTAGGGTTTTGGGTTTTAGTGCACAAGGTGAAAAGGAAGGAAATGCTATTAAAAAAACATAAAAACTGAAATGTCATATTTTTCATAGACTATATTTGCATGACACTACCAGATGCACAGACCTCATTATCCTTATTTAAATCAAAATTAAGTGGCAAAATCACTATTTGCTAACATAGAAGTGGTTTTTTGTCTAATCAGAAACTGATACTGATGCCAGGAACAGTGATTTTTTGCTTGATTGCAGAGGACTAGTGTGATTTTGCAACATGTTAAGGATAATTTTACACATTTAAACATAAACAGACACATAATCAGCCTTATGACACATTCTTTCCAACATACACACCTCCACGCACGCAAACGCTGTCTCAAAATAAAGGGGGGAAAGATTAAGGGTAAGCTAATCTATAAAAATGTGTTTTCCATGTAGAGCTTTATAGGTCTGTTATTACTATATCACTGGAATCCAGTGAAGGGATGCAAGAATAGGTGTGATATGTGAACGCTGGCTAGTTTTTGTTAGCGGCTTTGTGCTCCGTCCTGCACTAACTGGAGGACAGAGAGATGCACATGAAAAGTGAGTTACAATAACCAAGGTGGGGGAAAATTGAAGTGTGTACTAAAAGTTTCAGATGACTGAATAACAGTAAAGGTTTGCTTTTGCTATATTTCTGAGGTGAAATGGAGGTTTAGGAAGCATCATAGCCTGCAAATGGAAGATGTTATATTCCTTAAATGCACAACAATAATAGCTGAAAGTTAAGGAAGAAAAAGAAGATGCAAAACCAAGTGAAACAAAATGCTGAAGGTCTCAGAGTAGAGAACAATGACAGGTAAAGTCTGATAAGAGGAAAGAACAAAGTACAAGAGGTAGAGCGTGCAGACGTGACAATGGCTTGATGCATTTTCAAGAGTCTCAACTTGATGACGCACTCAAATATTCATGCTTTCCTCTCAACGAAACAAAAACCCCGACAGCTGCCAGCTCGAGTGGCCCGCATGCACCCCTTAAAGAGGATTCGGTCATTTTTTTGAGTCATGATTGTTTTTATGTTTCAGACTGGAGGACAAACATTATAAAATCATAAAATAAAATATGGACAAATGATCAAAAGGTTCTTTTTTTTTCCCTTTTGGTTCGTGGTGTAGTCGAAACAAGCAGCCCTAAAGCTTGAAACATATCCAGCTTCACTGAATCTAGTCTGCTGCAGACTGCACTGAATGTTTCCACCTGTTTCATCAGCATTATTTTAGTTGGCAGTTGACTCCACTGTATTGTAATGACAAACATGGGCTCTATTTGCATTTGCCTAATTAGTTACCGGCTGTAGTGAGAGGGATAATTGATTGCAGGGCAATATGGTTGATTTGCAACTCAACCAAGCTAATAATTTGTTATTGATTGAAGCATTAGTGAGGAAAACACTACAGAGATATGTAACCAAGCCAAAGTGCTGCAGAAAGTTGATGCTCTCAGTTTTTAATCTACTTTAATAACATTACACTCCGCTAAGCTAACATCGTAAGGAGTGCGGGGTTGGGAGATGATGAACTGCTGGTTTCAGCGCCGCACTGTAGACTCATATGTTATAACTGGAAGAGATTACATTTACTGGGGAAGCAGGAGTGTCTCTGTGTGTGTGCATTTGGAAACATCCGCATGTAAGTCTGCCAAAGTCTGTTTGCATAAGACGTAATACAGAAGAAGCGAGAGTAATGCGCTGAAATGCATCACATGTGCAGTAAACATGCCAGGATGTCAGGTGTATGCAAGGATCAAAGTTGTGCAAACATTTTCTTTCTTTTTTTAAAAAATCCAGCACTGAAGCATCTGAAAGTCGCAGATTTTAAATGAACTCGTTACTGCTTCGCTAACTGCTGGAACCTTCTGCCTCATTGAAAAGTCCACAATTGGGTTCAATTTTCCTGTTTTAATCAGCCATCAAATGAACTTTAGAGGTTTAATTGCACATTTTAAATAATTATCTCAAGGGTCAGGGGTACCTCTTTAAGAAGCTAGATTTTCCCCGCTCTGAGTCTTTCTAACCTCTAACTCTATTCATTTATTTCCTGCATTTCACTCAGCTCATCTTTCCAGCCACCCTCTATTTGTCTGGTTCTTTTTTTTTTTCAGCCCACAATGATGTCCTTTCTATCAAAATGTTTTTCCTTTGCACCGTTTTTTTCAGTCTCTTTCGGTTTTCCTGTGCTTCATTCAGGAACGCCCTCAGGAATAGAAAGTCTGCGAGGAAAAAAACGATTTTGAAGTGACTCAGAGAGAGCTTCGTTTCTTTGAAGCCAGGTGTAGAAATGTTGCATTGAGGTGCTGAAGTCATTTCTTCTCTTCTCCAGCTGTATCCCGGAGGCCCAGCTTGACAGCTAGAGGAGAGGTCATCACCATGACTGCGTCCTCACAGGACTCCGCCCCCTCGTCTATGGCTGGCCTCTTCCTACTCCTTCTCCTCCCGGCTGTTTTCACGCAGAACTCCGCTGTCCCAACGACCCCGACCCCATCCTCGTTGGACCCCCTGACCCATCCGGAGTGCACAAAGAAAGAACACCCAAAGGTTTCCATCAGAGGTCAGTGATCACCTCCAACCGCACATTTTGTATCAGTCAGTGCTGTACTTGCAGTGCTGCTTCTACATGGACACATTTTGCTGGGACAATGCAGTTTGTGGCTTTTGTAAAATTAGCATTTTCATTCAGCTTCCCGGTAATTTGATATCTTGCTTTTTCTTCTGTGACAGCTTATTTTCAAATTTCAAATTTATTACCGTTTCCTTTTTTAACAAAAGAATTTGAAATAAGGGAAACATGAAAGGATAGGCTGTGAAAGCAGTCAAGTGTCGAGCTGCTGCTGCTGACTTATTTGGAGTCAAAAAAAGAGAAAAAAACACCATGCGTCACTTTAGTGTCAGCTCCAGCTTTATTCAGACATAGTGGGTACATTTTTTTTTTTAGATGAGGGACACTCTGCTCTGAGCAATCATGCTGAAGTCCATCTTACTGTACTGCTGTCAACTTGTCGATAATCTATATTGACTCATCTTAAATGTACACATGGGAGAAAAAAAAGGCCGATCCAGTTGAAATCTATTGAGCTATTCATCATGCACATCCCCTAAAGGTGAGGTGAGGGGTGCATATAATCCCCGAGGAAAAGCAGTGGATGTAAAGATGTAATGGAAAATAATAAAACTTGCCGTATTTGGTGTCAAGGTTAAGGTACACGAGCATTCAGAGAAACTAAAGCTTTTTCCTAATTCCTAACCTTTGAGCTATGAAGCTTTACATACTAACATGGTGAATTTTATTATCTTTACTCATATGATTGGAGCTGAATTGGTTCCTTCAAGCTGTAAAAACGTAACATTTTAAGTTAGATTTATACAGTGTGCAAAAATCATGGCATTGTATTGAAAAAATAAAAGGTGTGTTGTGCAGCTCTCTTCGTGCCCTTTCATCTAATATGTTACTCTATGGTTCCTTGAACTTTGACCTTGGGCGCTAACAATAACAGTCAAGGTCAAGTAGAGAATCCATAAAAATTTTAAATAAAACGTTTTTATAGATTTTCACTTTTGGTGTGACCTTGACTTTGATCTGATTTTCACTCAAATTAAATCAGCTCGAGCTGGTATTGATGTCTACCATCACACAAAATTTGAAAACGATATGTTGAAAACTGCGGATGCTAGACTGACAAACACAAGCGACTGCGTACCATTTTTCCTTGGTCACAGCTTCTGCTTGCATGTTAATCCTGAACACTTTTCTCAGTGTTGCCATGAGGTTCCTTTGCAGTTATAGGGAATTAGCATCTGAAGTAGAGTCAGACACAGCATGCATCCAGCGTTACAGTCTGATGTATGCAAGTGTGGGAACAAATGAGTCTTTATCTTTTATGCTTATGGTTTGAAATCTCCAATAACATTGATTCCACAAGCTTAAAGTTCAGTGTGGCAAACTGTTGCTGTCAAGTTAAGGGGGACAGTGTGGCCCCAGGGAATTTTATGTCAGCTATTTTTCATATCTGGAACCCTATTTGCCACTTTTCAATTTTCATAAATGTATCTTTGTGCCATCTGTAAATAGAACCTCACAGTTTGGCGAGGTCAAAAGGCATCTATAAAGGAGCAGAAAGCAAAACGGGCCAAGATTAAAATGATAGTGTGGAATAATGGCGCCCGCTATCTTGCCCGTTCATCTGTACAGTGGGCCAAGAAACGAGGTGTTCCTCACTGCGTGAAATGGAACAGAACAGTTTGGAGCGCAGAATCAAAGGTAAACACACACAAAATTGCTGTGTTTATTTTTGAATAGGGCTGTTTGTGTTTCATCTGCCAAGAGTGGTGAGTAGGATTGGAAAGCCCAAAAAAAATTGCTGGTGGGGATCGAGGACAGAAAGATTGGAGAGGTGGCCTGAAGGAGTTATGAAATGCTCTCAGCCCCTCCAAAGCATGCATCCGTCTTTTTGGTTTTTCTTTTTTGGACTGTGCCGTTTTCTAACAAGACTGTTTATGTGCTTGTGTCCAGCTTATCAATGCTGCAGACCTGAACTCTGTCTATGGTTCTGAAGATTGACGTAAAGACCCGTGTGCCATTTGGTCCTTTATGCTGAACTTTCTGTGTCAGAGCAGTTTTAAGTTTGAAAACTAGAGCCTCCATTCTATTGGATTTCCAATCTATAGAAATCAAGAAATGGCTTTTTTCATTCCCCCACAAAACCAGACTCACACTATCTATATGCAAGGGCTTTTTCCCTGTCCTGCTTCACCCACCCGGCCTCCAGATGTCCAGATTAGCCTGGGCCCCGCCAGTGCTTCACTTCAAAGGCGTGCCACTTGAGAATGGCTCTCATGGCAGGGAGCTGCAGGGCTGTTGGCCTGTCAAAGCAAGCAGAGCGGGGCATTATGTGAAGGCAGCCTTACAGAAAGGCCTGCACAATGAAAGTGCCAGCAAGAACCTGAGATTAGCCTCTGTGATTGATGAGCGTTTTATTGTAGCTTGCTGAAGCGCTGCATCAGTCACCTGAAGGAGACCAGCCAGTCTTTGCTATGGGCATGCACAAGTGTGTGCTCGTGCTGTACAAGTGTATGCATCTACAGGGAGTGCAGAATTATTAGGCAAGTTGTATTTTTGAGGAATAATTTTATTATTGAACAACAACCATGTTCCCAATGAACCCAAAAAACTCATTAATATCAAAGCTGAATGTTTGTGGAAGTAGTTTTTAGTTTGTTTTTAGTTTTAGCTATTTTAGGGGGAGATCTGTGTGTGCAGGTGACTATTACTGTGCAGAATTATTAGGCAACAAAAAACAAATATATACCCATTTCAATTATTTATTTTTACCAGTGAAACCAATATAACATCTCCACATTCACAAATATACATTTCTGACATTCAAAAACAAAACAAAAACAAATCAGCGACCAATATAGCCACCTTTCTTTGCAAGGACACTCAAAAGCCTGCCATCCATGGATTCTGTCAGTGTTTTGATCTGTTCACCATCAACATTGCGTGCAGCAGCAACCACAGCCTCCCAGACACTGTTCAGAGAGGTGTACTGTTTTCCCTCCTTGTAAATCTCACATTTGATGATGGACCACAGGTTCTCAATGGGGTTCAGATCAGGTGAACAAGGAGGCCATGTCATTAGTTTTTCTTCTTTTATACCCTTTCTTGCCAGCCACGCTGTGGAGTACTTGGACGCGTGTGATGGAGCATTGTCCTGCATGAAAATCATGTTTTTCTTGAAGGATGCAGACTTCTTCCTGTACCACTGCTTGAAGAAGGTGTCTTTCAGAAACTGGCAGTAGGACTGGGAGTTGAGCTTGACTCCATCCTCAACCCGAAAAGGCCCCACAAGCTCATCTTTGATGATACCAGCCCAAACCAGTACTCCACCTCATCAGTCCTGCCGTCTGACTGGAGCTCTCTGCCCTTTACCAATCCAGCCACGGGCCCATCCATCTGGCCCATCAAGACTCACTCTCATTTCATCAGTCCATAAAACCTTAGAAAAACCAGTCTTGACGTTTCAGCTTGTGTGTCTTGTTCAGTGGTGGTCGTCTTTCAGCCTTTCTTACCTTGGCCATGTCTCTGAGTATTGCACACCTTGTGCTTTTGGGCACTCCAGTGATGTTGCAGCTCTGAAATATGGCCAAACTGGTGGCAAGTGGCATGTTGGCAGCTGCACGCTTGACTTTTCTCAGTTCATGGGCAGTTATTTTGCGCCTTGGTTTTTCCACACGCTTCTTGCGACCCTGTTGACTATTTTGAATGAAACGCTTGATTGTTCGATGATCACGCTTCAGAAGCTTTGCAATTTTGAGACTGCTGCATCCCTCTGCAAGATATCTCACTGTTTTTGACTTTTCTGAGCCTGTCAAGTCCTTCTTTTGACCCATTTTGCCAAAGGAAAGGACGTTGCCTAATAATTATGCACACCTGATATAGGGTGTTGATGTCATTAGACCACACCCCTTCTCATTAGAGATGCACATCACCTAATATGCTTAATTGGTAGTAGGCTTTCCAGCCTATACAGCTTGGAGTAAGACAACATGCATGAAGAGGATGATGTGGACAAAATACTCATTTGCCTAATAATTCTGCACTCCCTGTATACTGACAAGTATTTATAGATATAGGTGTGTTTTTCTTGTATTTTGACTTCCTATCTAAATGAGTTTTAGATTTTCTATGTGCAGTCCAGTGACATTTTATCCTGGCAGCGCCAGTAGAAGGCATCGCATGTCCTCCGGTCCTCCAGCTCTGGTTCCTCCGACCATAAACCTCCGTGGTATCCAATATTCATGTTTGTCATTGGCTATAAAATGTTCTGTATTGTCTCTCTGCCCAAACAAACAAAACAGCAGTCTCTGTGTATCACACTGCACTCATCATTTTTCTCCATATGAAAAGGTTAGATGGAGTTACTTAAAGTCAAGGATAAAAGGTCATCTCATCATATTCATTTATAAAGGACTAATGTTGACTTTCACTGTATGCACTTACCTTGGTTACCTGTTCAAACAGCATCAGCTCAAAACTATTAAATGATGTTTTCACGATTCTTGTAATTGTTCTTAATGATTCTTTGTGTTTTGTTGTTGTCGTTCTGTCTGCTGCTGATTGTCTTCTTGTGGATATGTCTTGTTCTTGCTCTCTCTTGTAAATGAGATTACAAGGGATTACAGGAGATTTTAGTGAGACTGAGTTAAAAAACAAAAACAAAAAGACAATTTATATAAATAAGTCCATCAACTCGAGCGTGTTATGTGGATTTAAGACCAGCTGTATTCTGTATACTTGGAGGAGTAGCGGGACACTCATACTGATAAGAAACATCTCTTAATAAATAGATGTACTTGCAAAGAAATCTTAGTATCTGGTAGATATGAAGAGAATTATCCTTGTTTATAGCCACTAAATCATTTTTACAGCTGCTTTATTTTAGCTTAGTTTGGTTGTGACAGCTGTGATCACAAAGAAGAAATCAATTTTTAAAAAGAAGTTGAGCACACATGCGGCGGTTGCGATGTCAGGGGAATGTACTATAAACACAG